GTCGTTGTTGAATCCAAACAGCTTATTGGAGCCACAGGTGAGAATTGAGCGCCTGGAGGAGACCAAAGAATAGAGGATGCCCAAAGGGGCCGACAGCCCTCCGAGTTAGAGGCGCTACTCCTACCGGGTACCCCATGGACAGTAGTCTTCAATGAATAATGGCCTCAGCTCCGCCTTAGTAACACCCAATGCGATGTGAATGGTGTTCCAGATTAACTTGCTTCACCTCATGTACAAGACGTTACTGTTCACTGTGAGTAGGCAATTTTCCAGTATCATCCGGGACCCGAATGAGATGTGACAGCTTAAGAAAATTTCCCATTGCGGCAATATGTTCCAAGAAGGTTTATGAACTGCCCTCTGCACAAAATCAAATAGCATTTTTATCGGTATGTAGTTATGCGAACCAATGGCGATGTTTGCTCTTTAGGGAGTGTCAATGGTAAAATGAGTTCGAACCGGGATTGTGTTCGCACAAAAGTGGCCGCATCTTAGGAAGTTGCTCTAGCATAGAAGTGCTGTATATCGACCACGTAGATGCCCGTAGAAGGGGCTTAGATAAACGAGCACATAGGTGCCTTGGTCACGGCTTTCATGGGCTCACGTCAGATCGCAATCTAGCCGTCTTTGCCTTTCTTTGGAACAGTAGCTGTCTCCGCAAACATCACACGCAGAGAAAGCTTATCCGGTGATATGGTTAATAGACGCTCAAAACACAATAATCGACAAAGGCCATGCACCAGAGTGAGGATTTGAGACATGCATCTCAAACAAGTACTGTGGCGAATAATCGGTATTGAAGTAGTAGTGAAATCAATGAGGAAATTAGCTTCAGATGCAGAAAAGTAAAACATTACGACTGAAGTAAATTCGTTCGACTTCTTCGTCAAACTAAACGAACTGTGATGGGACACCGAATAAGGAGTCCAAACCATCGGAGAGTTATTCGCTAGGACGTGTGCTACGCACGAGGCCATAAAGACCTCTGCGAACCACAACGCTCATCGACAACGGCAGAAGTTCAAGTTTGAGCTTACGGCACTTTTTCACCAAAGAAAACGGTGTTCGTCAGGACTTCCTTCTCTACTTTTCTATTTGCCTCCGTTATATATTCGATTCTGGAAACAGCTCTGTCCTCATGCGAGGATCGTGGCATTTACTTGGCCCCAAATGACAGACTGTATGATCTGGTGTTCTGCTAAGATCCAGATCAGTTGCAAGCTTTCCGATACAGTTTAGATACTAGTATAGTTAAACTCAGTATGCATTTTGTACCTTCGAAGTTTTGTATAACCGCGACCGCCCACTGGAGCATGCGGTTGCTCTCCTTAGATTACGTTGGTTGGGGTGATTTTGCACATGTCACTAACTAGACCGCCACGGGGCGTGCTGCTTGCCGAGGCAAATGTTGGATGGAAGAGGTAAAGGGTGGTCAAACTGAAACCTGGCATGAAGATATGAAAACCCTGATCAGGAGACGTGCTCACATAGGTCGCGTTAGACTTCATGGATTATGACATCGGGAGTAGTGTAATCAATGGTTACAGACACTGAGTGTCGTAAAAGGCAGTGCTTTAGGAACCTTAGTCTTCATGAATTCTGTATTTTCACTCTGATACTGATTGAAACATTCCAATATTTCCTTGACTTCTTGATCCAAATGGGCAGTCATGAGACAGTAAACAAAACTGGCGCAACAAAGTGGGTGGTTAATGGTTGCTAAAACTGGCACTGAAAGGGTAGCAGTCACAAATTGGACGAGGGCTACCAGATTTTCATTCAGCAGAAAAGTAGGCAAGTCTGACTATTTCAACCCAAGCTGGGGCGGTTATAGTGCTGGATTCACGTCCAAGAAGCTCGCTTGACTCTAAGTGACAAGTGTTATGAACTTTTTGTTGACTCCGTTTATCAACACCGATTAGTTTTTTAAGATAGACTGTAATACTTTTTTGAACGTTTGACTTGATTGTGGATTTCTGGAAGTTGAAACTTAAAAAAGTAATAATCATTACCTTCAAACATTACACTTTGAATCGGAGCGCTTTGGATCAGGTCAGAAAACTATGAGAATCCACAAAAACAACAGACGATAGCAATACGAAATAACGTGTGAGAAAAATTCGTCAGTTGTGTGACCGATATGCATTCAAATACACTCACATAAATCGAAAGCAGTCAAACAATTTTGGGTTCGGAGCGTCACAAATTTTCGGTGCGATCCACACAGCACTCGGCGGAGACACCGAGTTCGCACCACATTGATCGTTCCTCCAATCGCAACTGGACGGATGGTGCATGTTTGAGATAGAGGCCATTCGATTCGCCTCGAGCAGAGCCGTGACCAGGTGAATACCCACTCGAAAGCAACCGTCCACATCGACCGCCAATCGCAGAACACAATCTTGTTCCGTTTCTGAAGCGGTCACCAGTGCGCGCGACTGTGCGATACGCAGAAGGTGGTGTAAGAGTTAATTTGTGAAATGTATTTGTAGATTAAGCTTGCCAGTTCGCAGAGAAATTAAATGAAAAGATGTCTGTGATAAACATACCGTTCCACCTTCAGCATTAGAGGCGGTGCCACACATTCGTGACTTGTGTGCGATTAAGTTTAGCCAAATGGTATTTCTCAGTATTGGGATGAGAGTACATTAATTGATAAAAATCCACGGAAATTCGAGAGAGGACAATACGACATCTGTCTTGAATACCGATCTGGGCTGCTTAACTGCTCGGTTGTCCAGTCCAAAGTAGGAGCTGAGCCATATCTGATAATTTAGTCGAAGTTGCCACTCTAGTCTTTTTACACCGAAATGCAGGGTCAATCCAAGAGTCGATGGTCCACTGTGTAATTCGTTCACTTCAAACGAGACACCATACCGGTTAAGTGCAGCATGATAAGAACAGTAACTCCACAAATAGGTTTCTC